AGCCAGAATGCACCAATGGGACAGCGCTTCCGGTGACGACACAACGGCCAGAATGCAATGTCAGAATCCGGGGTCAAAATACGTCACACTACATCCGTCCAGGCGGTTGCAAAGTGTCAACAACTATGGATGCGGTAAAAGACCTGATTTGCAGTTTGCGTGAATGACCGGGGAGAAAAAATTTGTGCAAATTCTGTGCTTCAGTAACAGTATTTGCTGCTGTTTTGTGCAATGGAAATTAATACAAGAAATGCTGCCAAAAGACATTTACATTCCCTTGCATTACACAACAATCTTTGTGCTGAGGCAGTGACGATTCACATCCATCACAAGTTCTCTTGTTGTAAGCTGTAATTTCCCAAATAAATTTCATTAAAGCTACAATGTAATAATGTACGTGTTTCACTTCCAACAGTCAATCATTATTCGCACACCATTTTGGAATATACTAAGGTACTATGTAATCATGTAATAAGAATCATTATTGAAACCGTATCCCGAGGTGGGATCTTAGTTGAAAATACAATAAAGTAATACAAAAAGATAGCAAAAAAACCACAAGACATTCATGGACAATTGAAAAGAAGAAAAAAAATTAAATTATTTGGTGGTTGGTTGAGGCATCTGGCATTTTAAGATTTTTCTTGTCGTAATTTGAAACAAGTGTGGATGAATTTTCGTAGTTCAATGATTGTTTTGTCATTTTTACTTTTCAGTATATTTGTAAGTTTTTCGTCATCCGTCCCCAAGTTGCTTATATTGTATTTAATATTGTTGATCATGATTTCTCGTTCCTTCTTGTATAAATTACAATTGAGAAAATGTTTTTCGTTTTCAATTTCCTGTTTGTCACAAACTGGGCAAATTCGGTCCTCCGCTAAAATGTTATTATATCTGCCCCTTTCGATTTGAAGGGTATGAGCACTTATTCTGAGTTTTGTCATAGCTGCTCTATGATTTGGATTTTTGATTGTGGTGAGATATTTTTCATATGCAAATTCTGTTTTAATTTTCCTATAGGTTCGTAACTTGTTTTTGTGGTTTTTACCGTTATTGTCATCGTGTAATGTTTCTGTGCTATGTATTTCAAAGGATTGTTCTAGTTTGCGCGTTACTGTTTCAGTGATTTGTTTGTCATCAAGAGATTTATGGTTTTCCCATGTACTATGGAAAAACCATGTACTATTTATGGTTTTATGTACTATAAAGGGAAACAGGGAATGACCACTTATTATTCCTAAGAGGAGAAAATTTGTAAACCCCCTATATATATATATATATGTATATATATATATTATATAAAATTAAATTAAAAAAAAAAATGTGACTCAATCTTTAAGAGAAAAATTTTAGGCCCCTTCAGCGTTGTTAAAATGTCCCTGCCCCGCCCACCTCGTGGCTTTAGAAAATATGCTGACCCCCCTCTGTTTTGCCCCTCAGGAATAATAAATGATCATTCCCTAACGCTTGAATGTGTACAGTGGTGGCGGGGAAGAGTAACAGACCGCCCGGTCGTCCATCGGGAAAATGCGGGGGGGGGGGTTGCCCCTCAAAATGCAGAAAATAGCATGCCTCGGACCCCGGAGGGGGTACTTGCAAAAAATACTGACAGGGGTGTGTAGCTGGTTGTTTGAAACCCCTACCCCTTATCAGACAGAAATAAACTCAAATTGCCTACCCATTATCAGACAAACTGTGGATATTTGACACCCCTTTCCAGGGAAAAGCAGGTGGACTCCCGGGGATGGACTTTGACGATCGAAATGCAGTTACAGAAAGAAAAAAACAGCTTCATTCTCCTGATTGTTGGATCACAGTCTTTGGAAAATATGGACCCCTTTTCAGACAGAAATAATGAAAAAGGGATAATCCTTTTCAGACAGACAGTGTAAAATAACATACCCCTTTTCGGACAGAAGCAGTGAATTTGGGACCCCTTTTGGCGGCACATATACATGTAGTACTTCAATGTGCGTAACCCCCCCCCCCCCAAGTAAGGTCGCGCCTTCGGCGCTAGGTCCCATGTAAGATTTCGTACTGCCTCCTCTGTTGAAGGAAAGCTGACGATCGTTATTTACAAATTGTTATATATACAGTATGTGTCTTTCACTGTACAAAAGTTCAATATTTGCTCGAAGCTGATTTAAAAATATATCACGATTGCTAGAAGTGGTTAGTAGTAACCGTGATTATATTTATTACAAAGAGTTGTTTGTGTGGTGCATTGCCTATGACTTATGCAAATATCACCGTACACTTACGTTACTAAGCTGAGTGCGGACAAAATATTTAATTTGCATACTGAATAAGCTGTTTTAGATAAAAAAAAAAAAAAGGTTAGTGATGTACCGTCACCCACTCTCGCTGAAGTCGCTCAATTTTGTCAGTTTCTAGGAGGTCTATGTTCACGGAATAACATACCTCGTATCAGATACTTGTCTGATCGAAAATGTGTACATTTGACAACAAATATTTATTTATTTATCAGAGACTGAATACGAAGAAACGTTTTATTGCAATTTTACGTACGCTTACTAGAAACTAATTTTCGACCATTCACGTAACGACGCACAATTTTTTACATCGAAATTGGCTAAAACATTACGTCTTATAGATGTTCATCTGAACCTCTGATATTTGGTAATAACAATATCACGAACACGTTCGACGAAGTTTGAAGAACTATATCTCCGGAACTATGAGGTACATGCAAATTCCGAAACACGAATAGTAATAAAAATGAATAAAAATTGTTTAGAGGTTTACGTCAATTTCCGTAACCTAATCTACTAAGTCAATGTTAAATAAGAAAAGCATTCTATAGTTTGTAAATTGTAAATTTAAATATTGTCATGGCATGTACTCACGGGGTTTGTAAATTGTAATATTGTCATAGCATGGACTCACGGGGTTTGTAAATTGTAATATTGTCATAGCATGGACTCACAGGGTTTGTAAATTGTAATATTGTCATGGCATGTACTCACGGGGTTTGTAAATTGTAATATTGTCATAGCATGTACTCACGGGGTTTGTAAATTGTAATATTGTCATAGCATGGACTCACGGGGTTTGTAAATTGTAATATTGTCATAGCATGGACTCACAGGGTTTGTAAATTGTAATATTGTCATAGCATGGACTCACGGGGTTTGTAAATTGTAATATTGTCATAGCATGGACTCACGGGGTTTGTAAATTGTAATATTGTCATAGCATGTACTCACGGGGTTTGTAAATTGTAATATTGTCATAGCATGGACTCACGGGGTTTGTAAATTGTAATAATGTCATAGCATGTACTCACGGGGTTTGTAAATTGTAATATTGTCATAGCATGGACTCACCGGGTTTGTAAATTGTAATATTGTCATAGCATGGACTCACGGGGTTTGTAAATTGTAATATTGTCATAGCATGTACTCACGGGGTTTGTAAATTGTATTATTGTCATAGCGTGGACTCACGGGGTTTGTAAATTGTAATATTGTCATAGCATGGACTCACGGGGTTTGTAAATTGTAATATTGTCATAGCATGGACTCACAGGGTTTGTAAATTGTAATATTGTCATAGCGTGGACTCACGGGGATTGTAAATTGTAGGTGCGTGGTCGTGGAGTAAGATGCCTGACGGAGAATCCCAAAATAACACAATTGTTACTAAAGTTATGATCACTGACTATTAGCCTAATGTTTCCTATTTTCACCTCTCTACTTCATAATTTTCATTCGTGGTATGAGTTCGACAGTTTATATGTTCTTTTTTTGCCTTTTGGTTGCAAATGTCTCTGTTTTGGAGACAATCTTATGATAGTAGTTTATTGTATTCTATTCATACCAAAAGATTCTTCTGCTTTTTTTCCCTCAGCTGTCGCGCCATTAAACTTATATTTCAAAATAAAGGTATTCTCTATTTTAGGCGTGTGTATATATGAAAATTACGTTAATTCGGGTATCCACTGTAGTGATAATGAATAAAGCTATCATACAAGCTAAAAAAACAGTGTTTCGAATCAACGCGCCCGTCAGTTCAGTATGAGCTGCTCGCGATTTTGTTTTTGGTTTCTGCCTAAAAATAAAAGAAAAACAGCCTTTAAAATGCTATACATCGTACATTGCAGGGCAGCTATATATTAGAAGCGAAATTCATTGTATTGTAATTTAATGTTTTTTGTTCAGCTGATGTTGAGAGAGAGATGATGTTGAGATGACATGGTCTTTTTTTACTCATCAATTTTGAGGTAAGTTATATATTTTTT